GGGTCACTGGCAGGGCCTCTGGGTGGATAGGTGGTGTGGCATGGTGCTGGTCCAGATGGAGAAGGCATCCCAAGAAGTCAGTCTTCACTACCCCTTTTATGGGGCAGACAACCTCTGATCTCCTATGGGGAGGGCCTGTCCAGGCAATGTCATTCCTGCCCCAGAGGGCTCCAGGTGTTCTTACTGAGCATGTGCAGCCTGGCACAATGGTGGCTTGGCTCATCTTTTGTTTCTTGAATGCTGAGGGTGGTCCCAAGGGCTGGTCCAGGTATTGGTGTTGATGGTTCGGTCATTCAGAGGGAGCTATTTTTAGACCGAGTGCCATTGTCTCTCAAGCACCCTCATTCATCCCCGTTCATTCAGGAACCAAGTTACAAAGGAGGGGTAGGTGTGAGTCATGGGTTGCACAACCGGGCCTGGGGATAAGATGGAGGCTTGACATTACAAGATGGAAACCTGACATGACTTATGGTAACTTACATATATAGGCCTAAAACAGTAATCACACGATATACAAGCAGTAAAAAATAAATAAATACAAACATAATAATTATCACTTATAAAACAGTGGATATCTATATCAAAATAGCACTTATTTGCAAAGAGGGGAGAGAAAAATAAAACTTACTACCTAAAATAAAATGTTAAAGCTTATCCCACATCTTAGCTTACTTATACTTGTCTATAGGGAATAGAGAGGGAGAGAAAAAGTCAGAAATGGTTGGGGAAGGGGAGGGAATCCATTTTAAAATAAGTTTAAAAAAAAGAAAAACTGGGGGTTTTGCAACATTTTGATGCCTCACATACTAGGACCTGCTTTTTCATGCTGCAAATTGGTGGAAGCATAAGAACCAATAGGTGAAACTAATTCAACTCTATTGTAACTTTTCAGAAGAGATTATAGTTTGTTTACAGCTGGAGTTTAATTTATCTGAAGTTCTGGGTCATAAATACATTGAGGAGAACTTGGAGGCAATAAAATATTATAAGAAAAGTATAAGTACCTACATGTTCAACAGACTTGACAAATAACACTTAAATATTACGAAGAGGATAACTGATGATAAATTACTCAGAACTTGAAAGGTAAAGAAGGTAGTGCAGAGTGGCACCTTATAGACTAGTTAATTGTCTATATGGTGCCATTCTGCTCTGCCTTCTATCTGACACCAGACTAACTTGCTAACTACCTCTCTTGCACCACTGTCAGCTATGCAGTTAAAGGTGTAATAGGATCTGATGCAGGATCCCAACAATTGCACTTCCTGGCATGCCCCACGTGCATAACAGGAGATGCAATTGAAGGAGCCAGCATCAGATCCCAATCATGCAATCTTGCCAGTGCAGGGGGAGCCCAGAATCATGACCTGGATTCCCCCTGCACAAACAGGTTGGTGCCTGATCATTGGCTACTGGCTAGGTCTGCAGATCCACAAGGTTGTCTTCCTTGTGTTTCCCAGAGTCAGCTAACAATCAGATGATTGTTGGCAGATCAGGACCATCCCAAGGCAGTCCTGATCTGCAGTTGCCTGGCAGGGATCTCCCCAGAGTTCCAGCCCTGGGGCAGTGCCTACTAGCTGACAATCAGTTGAGTCATGAACCTGGGGTTCAAGCCCCAGGCTGTCCCAATCTTCAATCACCTGGCAGGGACTGGAATCCCAGGCATTTCCTGCCAGCCAGTGTTCAACTAATCAGGACACCTCCATACATTGAGCTGTGGGGCTGCCCCAATCTCTTCTTTGCTGGCAGGAACTGCCCCAGGATTTGAATCCCAGGGCAGCCCCTTCCAGATGATTGGGACTGCTCTGGGCTTTAGCCTCACATAACTTGCAGCAAGTTCAAGTTATGGTGCCATATAGACCAGCCATGGAGAACTACACATTTTTCAAGTAATACCTTTGTGGCTGGTTCATAATTTTATGGCATCATACATTCCTTGAATGTGTGCTCAGTTGCTCCTTCTGGCACAATTAGATACCTAATCAAACCAGAAAAATAGCATGTACCAGGGGCCCTAGAAAAGAAAAGTTAGCCATTGGCAATTGTTTAGGAATTAATGACATTTCATTGTGGGGATGCAGATCATACACGCACATGATACAAATGATTTGTTCTATTATTCTTTCTTTCATTTTTCTATACGGTATTTTGTCCACAGGATTCCCAAGATCTTACAAATTAAAACACTTACTCATTCCAAATGGGACTGGCAGATTATCAGAATCTGGCCCTTAACCAATATACAATCTATGTACAGAGATAATTTAACCCAGCATCAACATTCAACAAACTTAGTATTTAAATATGAAACTTATCTTCTCAGTAAATCAATAAATAAAAGTTAGATAATAAGCTTTGAGAATAACTGCATCTTGTCAAATTTTCTGGGGGAATTTATACATACAGGTAGGAAAGTAACTCTACATCATGTCCTCCTTCTTCATGGAAGGAGGAGGAGAGAAGCCAGGATAGGCACTAGATCCTGCCCAAGAAAGGTAAGTGATCTAGCTGCTTGTACATTTGGTTTAGCTGTTTCTTTGTTTGGTGGGGTGTGTGCTAGGAGAAGCTGGGACTGACTGTTGACTGATTGTTGATTGTTGTTGATTGTTGTGGGATTGCTGCCTGGGCCTGAGTCAACTCAGACCCAGAAGGGTATAAAAGGAGACTCCCCAGGTGACCAGGGAGCCTCTGACCAGGGAGTCAGCAAACAGGTACTGCCAACAGGGGAAGCAGTTTGCAGGGCAGTTCATGGGTAGGGTCAGTGCACAAGATAAGTCAGAGCAGAAGAGGAGGAGCCTTCAGTCTTCAACCATGGTAAGGACACAATGCACAGCCAGGGACCCTACCCCGGTGATGTCTCCCACCCAGGGCTCCTCTGAGGCCTCCACCCAGATGGAGCCCTCAGGAGGGTTGGTGGCACTCTGGCCCCCTGTCTGCGGGGGTTGCCTGGTGGTGCCCCTGAGGCCTGGGGGAGGTGGGGGAAGCAGGAGTCCCCTCACCTGTCCCACTTGTGCCCAGCTTGAGGCCCTGGAGGGGTAGGTGAGGGAACTCCAGGCAGAGGTTAGCAGGCTGCAGGGGATCAGGGCTGCAGAGGATGAGATTGATAGGTGCTTTCATTCTCTGCAGGATCGGACACCTAGTGGAGAGACAACATTGGAGGGACTCAATGCATCTGAATGGAAGAAGGTCACCTCCAAGGCCAGTCATCATACTGTTGAGATGACTGGCTGAGGGACAACTGGGCAGCCGAAGGAAGAGATGCCAAGTCATCGTGGTGAGCAACTCCCTTCTGAGAGGAAAAGAGGGAACCATCTGTTGCCTGGATCCCATGGTGCGGGAGTTATGCTGCCTGCCTACAGCCTGAATCCGGGACATCGTTGAGAGTATTCCTGACCTTATCCAGCCCTCTGACTACTATCCCATAGTCCTCATCCATGTGGAAACAAATGATGCAACCAGGAGTAGTCTGGACTGTATCATGAGTGACTACAGGGCTCTGGGAGCCAGGCTTAGGAAGTCAGGGGTGCAGGTGGTTTTGTCAATCCTTCCGATCAGCGGTTGCCATCAGCTTCAAGATGCCTGCATCAGAGAAGTCAACCTGCAGCTCCTGTTGTTGAGTTGGTGTCATTGTATGAGTTTTAACTTCTTTGACCACAATTCGCACTTCCATGAAAGGGGTATCCTGGGACGTAATGGTCTTCATCGCTCTTCAAAAGGTTCTCTTACAGATTGGTTGATCTCCTGTGTAGGGCTTTAAACTATGTTTGTTGGGGGATGGGGATGCAGAGGACAAAGAGATCCTAGGATCAGTGAGTTATGAGCCATGTGCTGGATCAGCCCAGGTAAGCACTAAGGGGCCCAACAGGCATCAGGACAGAGGTGTACCAAGGGCACCCATTGGGGGCCTTAAATGTCTTTAATGCTAGGAGCATCAGGAACAAGCAGGAAGAACTTGCACTCCTGCTTGCAAGCAATAAGTTTGACCTGGCTGGGGTAACTGAAACCTATAGGTTGTACAGACGTGATAGAGGGGGGATAAAAGGTGGTGGGGGGGGGTGTTGATCTCTATGTTAAGAAGCAATACACATCTTCTATAATCAAGATGGGATCAGAGAAGGGGCAAATTGAGGTATTGTGGGTTAGAATACAAGGGGGTTAGGGAAAAGGGAATTGGTAGGTAGTGGGCAAGGTTCCCCCTAAGGTGCACACGTGTGTGGCCGTGCACAAGTAAAAGTGTGGCCGCGCGCAGCCTTTTCAAGGACGCGCACCAGGTGAGGCTGGGGTGGGAGCCTAGCACGGGCTCCACTGGCTCTGGGGAAGTGCTCTGCTCCCCCACCTCAGGGCCAGGCAGTGGAGCACTTTCCCAGAGCTGGTGGAGCCTGTGCCAGCCCCCCGCCCCAGCCTTGCCTCATCTCAGGGAGAGGTCACTGCCTGTCCCGAGTGAGGCTCTGCTGGCTCTGGGACACTGCTCCACTCCCCTGCATGGCCTCGGGGGGAGTGTCCTGCAGTGTCCTGGAGCCAGTGGAGCTTCACTTGGGGCAGGCAGCAGCTCCTCGGGGACAGGCTGAGAGCCCTGGGGCTCTTTAGCCTGGAAAAGCGCAGGCTCAGCGGTGATCTGATGGCCACCTATAAGTTTAGCAGGGGTGACCACCAGTATCTGGGGGAATGTTTGTTCACCAGAGCGCCCCAAGGGATGACGACTAGGTCGAACGGTCATAAACTACTACTAGACCGTTTCAGGCTGGACATAAGGAAGAATTTCTTTACTGTCCGAGCTGCCAAGGTCTGGAACAGCCTGCCACCGGAGGTGGTTCAAGCATCTACAATGAACACCTTCAAGAGCAAACTGGATGCTTATCTTGCTGGGATCCTATGACCCCAGCTGAATTCCTGCCCTTTGGGCAGGGGGCTGGACTCGATGATCTTCCGAGGTCCCTTCCAGCCCTAATGTCTATGAAATCTATGAAATCCTTCCCAACTTGAGGCAAGGCAGGGATGGAGGCTGGGGCGGGGGGCTGGTGTGGGCTCCGCCGGCTCCAGGTAAGTGCTTCACTGCCCAGCCTTGATTTGGGGGAGAGGAACGCTTCCCCAGAGCTGGCAGAGCCCTCACCAGCCCCTGGCTCCTGCCCCTGGCTCCCAACTCTGGCCCCCAGCCCCCAAGCCCTGGCCACAGCCTCCAGCCCTCAACCCCCAGCCTCTCATCTCCAGCCCCTGGCCCCAGCTCCAGGCTCCATCCCCAGCCCCCAGCTCCAGGCTCCGGCCCCAGCCCTCAGCCTCCAGCTCCAGCCCCTGGCCCCCAGCCCCCAGCCTCTCGGCTCCCTTCAATAAAAGTCCCATGCCAGACCGAGGCAGCATGCTCATGGACTGAGGCTGTTTGCTCACAGACCAATGTGGCACGCTCATGGACCGCTACTCC